TTATTTCTAATCAGTAAAACCATATCTACAACTTTATATAGATATATATATACACACTACTGGTAGTGAAGACGCCAGGGGCCCAGGGTACTTGGGATAGTACCGTAGTAGTGGAGAGGAGATCGTCTGTCAAGGCTTACTCTGCCTTCTTCTGTCCAGGTTTAAAACGACGTCGTATTGTTCGAAAAAAACCTGCACAAATTGGCTCTTAACTTTGCTTTTCTTTTCTCGGTCTTCTTTTATGTGGCTAACTTTACTTTCCAGAGTTCCCCACTCCCCGATACGTTGACCGGCAAACAATCCCACAACCATCTCAATCCTCCATTGGAGCACCCCCTAACCTTCGAATCCTCCATCCAAACATGGTGTTTTCGAATTTCAAGTAAGTAACCAATCAAGGTATCCAAGATCCTCCCAAAACATGGAGTAATTTATAGCCAAAACTCCATACCCCACGAAGAAATCCAACTACCAAACAACACCTTGTGGTTTTGTAACAACTCCTCCGTGGCCACCAAATTACCCTTCATTATTTGGGGGTTATGGGGGGAAATCATGCTGATGGAGGTGATGAAACTAATCCAAAGGGATTTCTGTAATTAGACTTTTGAATCAACGGTTATGGAAGCATTGAACGGATGGGTCGCGCTTCACTTCGGTTTGAAATCTAAAATGAACATTGAAAATTTCAAAATCTGTAATTATGGAAGGATTGAACGGATGGGTGGACGATTGTGTTGTCGGCGGTTAGAAAAGTTTTGATGTCGGCGGTCAACGGCGGAGCCAAAGGGGGTTGAAGATGGAGGTTTGGAGTTTTTTTTTTTTTTTTGTTTTCTGCTTTAAGCCTTTAAGGCTTTTAACCACAAAAAGAAAGACGACAAATTAAAAGAAGCCTTTTTACAAGTAAAAACGTTATCGTTTCACTCGTTGGACAGAATAAGGCAGAGTGAGCCTTGACAGACGATCTGCTCTCGTAGTAGTGAAAGAGAAAAGAATATTTACCCGCCTCTAAGTCTTATATGAAATTTATTAATATTGATTATAATTGACCTATTAATTATCCTCTCCATCTCTAAAGAATTTAGTTCTATGCTAATCAAGACTTGATAATTTACTATATTTTTGGTACTCCCTCTGTCCCAAAATTATTGTCCACTTTGAATTTTCATTTTTAGTTCAAATTATACTAAATGTGAAATCTCAAACTGGACAATAATTTTGAGACAGAGGGAGTATAATTTATCATGATAGACTATACCCAACTTCGCTCTTGAATAACCAGTTCGCGAAATTATTGAATTTAGTTAGTTATTTGGAGCAATGAGAATTTCCAATGTCAGAACTTGTGAGCTGTAACTATAGTGTTTTTCTTATTTTGACTGCTCATCGACTCTCATTAGTACAAATACTCTGAACAAGTCATTAGCTGATAGGAGCGGTTTTCTTTTATGGTTGAGTTTATTGGGAAATTAATGTGACTTGGAGCTAGCAGTATAGAGTTTCAGAAGGTACAACAATTAATGGACCAAACTAATTATGTTCATATTCATCATTTATATATATATATATACTTATCCACGAAATTAATACTGATTTTGACTCACTATGTACCAATTATATACATCGAGTGACTAAGTACAGTGAAAATATATAGTGACAAATGAAAAGACAACTATACCATCCACTTGCTAAATATGTTTATTTATTAATTAAGAGTAAAAATGTAACTATGGAGAAAAAATAAAACTTCTAACAGAAAAGTAGTAAAAAACTAGAGACTATAATTATCTCATATCAATCACTATATTTTGTCACTATTTTCATTCACTACCACTATCATCCAATTATGTGTCCACACACACACAGCCTTCTTTCGCAGAGAGCTTTGTTTCTTACTCCTGTCCTGTCCCAGACAATAGTAATAATAAAAAAGTCCTACTTTTTTGAACTATCAAATATGACTCTTTCCCAGACAATAGTAATAATAAAAAAGTCCTACTTTTTTGAACTATCAAATATGACTCTTTTTAAATACGGAGGCCTATTTCATACTCCCTCCGTCCCATAATTATTGTCCAATTTGAATTTTCATTTTTAGTTCATATTGTACTAAAAGTGAAATTTCAAAATGGACAATAATTTCGGGACAGAGAGAGTATCTTTTGTTCAGATTTCCTTGATCAAATTTTCCGTTCATCAAATGAAATTATGAAACAAGAACGATAAAAAATGAATATTAATTAATCTAAGTGTTGTGAAAGTCTTCTATAATACTTCCTCTAGTTTTGATTATAAAGTATTTTGATTCTTCCTAAGTTTCATTTATCGTGTATTTCTAGATGAAAATGAAATCTGAAAACTAGTTTATAATAATTGGAGAGAATACAAAAAATGTGAAAATACATTTATAAAATTTCATGTTTTAATTAAAAAATAATAATAAATAAAATGTATTAAAAAAAATCAAAATAATTTATAATAAGAATAGGAGAACATAAAAGAAAATCATTAAGAAACTGAGAGGAGCATACTATTGAACAATACGTAGATCATCGTTTTAGGAATGCATTGCACACCATTTCGAGAATGCTGGAGAAGCATTTCGTTTTGTTTGAGAAGGCAAAAAGGCAAAAAGAGGAGATATCCAATTATCGACATCATAATGCAGGAGGAGGCCTCACAATGTTTTCAGTTGCCTTTATGGAACTCAAACACTCCAACTTTTTAGGCGAATACAAAATTCACAGAAATTAGTTTTGCATTGTCTTCCTGTTATACACATACTTTTTTCCTTTACGTGTTCATAATTTAGTTTTTTTAAATTAAAATAATATACTAAAGCATCCTATTAAATTAGAAACAAATGAATTTGTTTCCACCATCGTTTATACCCTCCAACTCGGTAGAGACAATGAAAATGTAATGCCATGTATCGTTTATTTTATGGTTAGACGGCTAGCTACACGCACCTCCGGCTGATATTAAACCTAGGATAGAATATGACATTGTTAATGTTTTATATCGACGTGTTATAATAAATTAGAGTATCAAGTAATTATTTCTTTTATTGTACTAAAAAAATTAAAAATCTAATGACCATCGAATAAAATACTGATACAAGGCGAAACATTCTGTCTTTAGTAAAATATATTCGAAAAGGTGTTATCAGTACAGAGATTAACTTAGCAAGTTACTTCACCCGTTCCATTTTAATATCTACATTCAAGAATTATTAATTAGTACAACGAGATGGACTGAAAATACTTATCATTTAGATAAAATAACCATTATACCACGAATTCTCATTCTGTAAATTTAAAAAATGGTTTAGTAAAAATAACTAGTTAAAGTTAGATTTACAATCTAATTTTTGCTCCAAGGACATAATAAACCTATTAAAAAGTAGGGAAATAATATGTATAGTGATGATAAATAGTGAAACGAAATAGTGAATGATGTGCCAAAAATGTAACCACAATATTATTCTTTGTTAGTGGGTAATTATTAGAATTAAAAATCAATGATTTTGTCTTTTCATTAGTCATTATTATTTTTCACTGTGATTTTTTTACTGTATGACAATAAAGACATTGTCTATGGTTAATTAAACTATAAAGTCTCCTTCAAAAAAAAAAAAAACTATAAAGTCTCTTTTTTTTTTTTTTTCCAGGGATTATAAGCCGCTATTCAAATTCTATCTACAACCAAAGCCTTATAAATGTGACCGGAAGCATACATATATGATCAATGTACATGTTGTCTCGTCATCTCAATTTTTAATATTGTCTCATCATACAAACTAATATAGCTGCTGTAGCTGAAGACCCTTTACATTTCCTCTTGGAAGCTAATTTAAATAAGGAAGGAATCAGAGGTACTGTACGCTTAATTTGGACAGTAGTACGTACTATGAATGCATGCTTCATCACAGAATCCTGGGACAACGTACGTAGGTACCACTGCAGTTGAACTTGAGATCATCCATCATATTCAGTAGTATCACTGACATAGAAAGATGGATTGTATTCCAAAAAGGGTATTAAGGAATATGATATACGTAGGTAACCCATCACCACCATCCTAAAATTAATTAAAGTTTAAGTACTATTTTCCATCCTAAAAATTAATATAACTCACATTGTTGAATTAGTCAATTATTTTTCTGAAACGGAACAAAATATATACATGTTTAATAGATGTAACACATGCAATGATGGGGTTTGTAGGCAATGAAAGCTCCATTTCTCCATCCGACCCCATGAACTATCTCTCTCTTGCCTTTAGTTGTCGGAAGTGGTTGGTTGCACACAACTAAAATTTCAAAACGAGAAACCGATCGATCTAGACTTTAGAGTCTATAGCTGGAGAGATTCCCTAATTCGGAATTTTGTGGTGGTTTGGAGGGTAATTTTCCCTGAGATTTTAAGGTCAAGGGTCGCGGTTCTTAGATGGAAGCATACCCCCTATCTTATAGAATATCAGCCCCTATCAATGGCCCCCCATCCTTTGAAAATGAAATGAGTAAAATCCACCTATAGGGTTTTGTGAATTTCGTGTTGCCATTACTTGTATCTTTTCCCTTAACAAGTTTCAATTTACCAAAAAGAATAAGTTTCAAATCAGTTCATATAATCACACTAAATAAATGATCCTCGCAAATCATGTCATGATATTATATTTGTCACAATATGTGCTGTTTAAACTAAAATCTCAAAAATTCTGGTTTTCTTACTTGATTGTCCTCGATTAGAATTATACACGTATAACAAGTACAAATGTTGATTAGAAAGGTATAAACAAGATGGAAAGCAAATTAAGGTTAAACCCTCTTAATTAGTTGGTTGGATAGTTCTTCTCGAAGCCAAACAGTTAATCCCCCCTCCCAACTTGTAGTACTCTTTTCTATAAATCATGAGGTTAAGTGGACTAATGGCCATCATCATGATGATTTATAATAACCATAGAAGGATTTTTTTTTTTTTTTAAAGAAGTTTTTATGCATTGATTTTTGAACCCTTTCATTATCAATTTCTCCTAACTGATCGACTTGTCCTACTCCCACTCCTACCACACTTTCACTTAGCAGCAAATTCAGCATATAAATATCCCTTCTCTCCCCATTTTAATTAGCGCACAATCCTCAACCCTACTTTTTTACCATTTTCTACTGTTATAATTAATCTCCCATTTAACCATTGAAGAAAGGAGACAAAGATGAACATTTCTGTAAATGGTCAGTCTCAAGTGCCTCCCGGATTTCGTTTTCATCCCACGGAGGAAGAGCTTCTTCATTACTACTTGAGGAAGAAAGTTGCTTCCAAGAAGATTGATCTTGATGTTATTCGGGATGTGGATCTTAACAAGCTTGAACCCTGGGATATTCAAGGTATACTATATATACTATATAGCTGGATTCATGAAATCATTTTTTTCCTATATGTTAGTGATGAAATATCATTGATTAGTTTGACTTTTTTACAAAAATATTCTTTTGCCTTTTCTTTTTTTTTTTTTTTTTTTTTGGGTACAAACAGAGAAATGTAGAATTGGATCCACCCCACAGAATGATTGGTATTTTTTCAGTCACAAAGACAAGAAATACCCAACTGGGACGCGAACAAATCGGGCTACAGCTGCTGGTTTCTGGAAGGCAACTGGACGTGACAAAGTGATTTACAGCAACTCCAAAAGGATTGGAATGAGGAAGACTTTGGTTTTCTACAAAGGAAGAGCTCCTCATGGCCAGAAATCAGATTGGATAATGCATGAATATCGCCTTGATGAAAATAACAACAATAACACGCTTGTGAGTCATTCATTCTTTCATTCTACTTATACTGAATAAGACTTGCAAAAAATAAAAAATGTGTACATATATAGCCATTTTTTTACATAGAAGATTTAGAGATAGAAATGACCAACATATATGATGATTTCTTTTTTGAAATGTCTGTATTATTTAGATTTTGTGAACGTCATACACGAAAATCTTTCAAATGTTAATGAAATTAACCTTGTTTACCAAATAAAATAAAATAAAATAAAATAAAATACAGGTGAGCAGTTTAGAAGAAGAAGATCCAAATATGAGCAGTGGAGAAGATGGATGGGTGGTTTGCCGAGTGTTCAAGAAGAAGAATTACCACAAAGCAGTTGAAAGCTGTAGCCAAATTTCTTCCAACCTCAGCCACGGCCACCCTACGGCCGCCGCCGTCATCTCGGCTGCCGGTGGCGGAAGTAGCAATAGTAGTGATGGATTTCTGGACAGAATCCTTGGATACATGGGAAGATCATCCTCATCATCATCATTATTATCTTGCAATAACAATAACAATAGGCAAGAAATGATGAATATTCAGCAAGTACTCCCACCATTCATGCACCTTCCAAGATTACTAGAGAATCCATGGCCAACTCCCACTTCCACCACCACCGCCACCGCCGCCATGATCAACGACAGCTCGTCGGGGTTAAGCCCGGAAGACGGCGGTTGCTTTGCAGCTGCTTGTGATGAAGATCAGCTTGTTAGGTCTCCGGCGACAAACGAGTTTCCAAAATTAGAAGCCGCCGGAGGAGGAGGAGGATCCGGCCTCACTGACTGGGTTGCGCTTGACCGTCTGGTGGCGTCTCAGCTCAACGCCGCCGCCCATGATGGCGGAACCACCACCAATGTCCGGGAAGATCTCTTCAGCTTTCCATTGCTGCACCATGATCATCAGAACCAAGAAAACCATAATAATAATAACCTACGATCCAACAATACAGTTTCTTGTAGATCAAATGTGAGTAATCATCATCAAGCATCTTCTTCATCGGATCAAGTTTACATGATGGTCAACGGGGAAGACTTTTGGAGCTTTGCCGGATCGCCATCTTCTTCCTCTTCCGACCCTTTATGCCACCTGTCAGCATGAAAAGCTATACTGAAGTATAGAGGATATACCTAGAAATACCCAAAAACAATATACATAGTACGTAAAAACGTAGTCCTAAATTACGTACGTATACTATACGGATGATCATATCTGCATGCATGCTGCATTAAAACCTTGGCTCCTTGTACGTCAACGTACTTGGTTTAATTGTGACATATGGGAACATGTTATAGAATATAGTATATAGTTTATACTTCTATTTTCAAAATAGAAAAACAATACTAATAAAATATGAGTTATACTTCAATTTGTAGTTGATTAATTGGTTTACAACTGAATTTGGTTTTTGTTTTCTGGTAGTTTTGGTTGGTGGGCATTCTCAACCATTGAATCTGGGGTCTAAAAATGATCTCTTCCATTTTGGGAAGGTATTGTTTTTGCTCATACAATTTATGTCACAGCTGCAGTCCTGCAGAATTAGTAACATTGGTAACTTGGTGAGAAATTGTAAAAATCATTCTGAAAAAATCAAATGCTATACCTTTTGCTTTATTCGAAGAAGGGGACTTTAATCTTTTCGTCTGTGATTTCATCATTTTATTTCTGTGGTGAATTATTTCTCAATTCATGTACATTTCATTGATTTCTAACGTTCATTTGGAAAAATACGAGTAGCTTATCTCATTTGTAGTATGTTTTTTGAAGCTTATGAAATTGGACGGACATTAATTAATTTTATCATCGAATGTTCATGCTTTTTGAAGGATGGTTATAAATTGAATCGTTGAAAAGTTAAGATTTTGAGTGTGAAGTAGAATATGATTCCAAGTTGGTTTTACTAATACATATCATAACCTTCTTTCGTTCGACCCAAAATAAAATTCTTATTCATTTTACTAATCAATACAATAAATAAGACTCTTATTTGTAACGAAATAAGTACTCCCTCTGTCCTAAAATTATTGTCCAGTTTGAGACTTCACTTGTAGTACAATTTGAACTAAAAATAAAAACTCAAACTGGACAATAATTATGAGACGGAGAGAGTACATGTTATCTGAACTCTTTTTCCAAGGATGTGTAGTAAATTTGCTTCTTCTTCTTCTTTTTTTTTTTGTTTTGTTTTTGAGGGGGGTGGGGGGTTTAAAATATAGCTAATTGATTGGTTGTAGTTTTGCTTCGTTTTCTTTTCGTTCATATCGCTTTTTCCTTCTATCACTTTGTTGTCAAGCTCCTCCATACCATACCATACGGTCAGCAAGGAGTAATCAATGACTATGTGTAGATATGTAGTCGACGAGGTTGATTCATATGTAGTGGTTTCAACATATATATATGATAGTCATACGACACAATTATATGTTCGATCAACTCTAACAAAAAGTTTGCCACCTTTTCTAGGGAAAAGATTAAAAAAAAAATCTGCAGGTTATCCGGGGCACTTTATACTACGATATGACTACTTGTGGCATTGCATTATTGAAACAATTCGATTTTGGCCTTTTTGAAGAAATTTACAAATTACAAGACATATAAAAACTACTAGAATATTGATAAAATTATATAGTAAATGGATATTATTTCCATCTCAAGTCAAGAATGATGGGATTATTATAGGAGACATATAAAAACGAAAGAGCTTCTTCATTTTTCAACAGAAAGAGTTTTATAATGTGGTTGAGAGAATTAATCATAATTCAGTCGTTGAAAATCATGAAAATCGAAAAAGATCGGGAATGAGAGGGAATTTGTTGAAAGGATCATCATAACCCCTTTTGTCCTGAGCTTTCCAATGGATGGCGGGAGTTGAAATTATGGCATGCAACAAAACCATAATGCTTGGTTTAAAGTATTGGTGGGGCTTTTAGGCTTAGCTTTTTAACGTTATCTTTACGGACATCATTTCCGCCAAAGTAACCAATTAACCCCTTAAGCCATTTTCACTTTCCCCTCATGTCTTATCACCCTCGGAAAAAAAATCTGATTATCGATCAGTAAATTAAATTTTATTGCTCGAACTCAATTGCGATTTCTCTGTGAGATGTGGATGCGACATTGATGCAATAAAGCACAATACTTTTTCCATTGGTGAATCCTCTAATCCCTAACAAAATCACATCGAACCTAATTAGTTGATTTTAAAATAAAGTAATATTATTAATTAGTATATTATACGCGCGTAAATATTAAAATGGTCAGCTTAAATTTCATTTTGCCACTATAGATTATAGTATAATAGTGAATGTGTCAGAGATATTTTCGACATAGCATTTGACTTGATATTATATACTCCTTACATCCTTAAATGATCATCTATTTTAGAATTTTTACTTATTTTACAAATTATACTAAAAAGAAAAAATTTATACTACACAATCATTTTAGAACAGAGAGAATATGTAAATCAAATACTCCCTCCATTTCAAAATGTAGCTTACTTTATGTTTTATACGTAAACTAAGAATACAATTAATTTAGGTGTTAAATATCTGTTTTACCCTCATTAATTATATTGGAACTATAAACAAGACTAAATGAAAATATATTGACCTTTTTTATTGAGGGTAAAGTTGAAAAAATAGTCATTAATTTGCCTAGAATTTGTAAAACGACCTATATTTTGAAATATCTCTCCAAATCTAAAAATGACCTAAAAATTGAAATGGAGGGAGTAAATCTCACCCTTTCATATGTTTTATGGTGATCTGATAGGTACTTTGTAATCTGCATCCTATAGGTTCTTCAATTAAAGCATGAGGAAATAACTATGAAGTGAAGTGTTCAAAACTATTATACTAATCTCATGTTGTGGAAAGTGAAGACCATATTGGATGAAAGGGTGTCTCAGCCTAAAAATTTTATAGACGGGATAATTACATCCACAACCTTCAAGTCTAATTTGTAAAATCTACCAATAAAACTTTAAAGCTTCTAATGCTATCAGTGATTCTCTATCATTTGAAGCGTTTTAATACATACGCGACCCTCTCTAATAGCGATAAGACTGCTTTAAAGTCTTTGTTTTTTGGGATACTATGATTGCATTATTAGCTAGATATTGTGTTAAGTTCGATTGGGAATCAAATGGTTATTGTGGAATGGACTCAGCAATCCTACCAGAGTAGCCCCAACCATCATATATTAATCACTAAGGTGCACAAGTTATTATTCGTTCAGAAATGAGATACAATGATATATCTAATATCTAGTAATATAGTCATTTTGTTCAACAGAAACAGGTTAATTCTTTTGAAACCAAAAGTGTAATGACTGTTTCAAAAAAAAGAAAAAGTGTAATGACAATGTAACCACATATATAAAACTCAGAACCATACGCGATCTTTTAGTGAAAAATTAAATGATTTTCAGTTGCCTGAAATACCTACCTTACTAGTGCTATGATCTTTCAGAACATCCGAGTACCAACGGCTCGCAAATTCTCGAGGGAGATATCAGGTAGTATCTACCAATTTAAGTATGACAAGCAATCTTTTCCAAGTTAGCAATAAAAACATTTCCAAGAGAGATAAACCTGCTTTGATGGAAAACCCAACACCAACTGGAGCTTTAACACGCGGGGGCCATTTGAAAATGGATTTACCGACTATAGGTCCACTCTCCCTGCAGATAAATTGTCGTTATCTCAAATTCAACACATGAGCAATGATGTCAAAATACGATTCTACAAATGATTTTCCAGTCTTTTCGAATTAGTTGGTTGGCTTGGGTTCATGTATATATAAACGTTATACTATAAAGTCCGAAGGTGATGGGTGTTGCGTGCTAGAGAACTACTACATTCGAGATGTTTTCATCAGGTAATTTTGCGTTTGTATAAGAAAATATTTTGTTTCAATTAATTTTTGAGATGTTTTTGAGTTTTAGTTCAAAAATATATCAAAAGGGTAAACTGCCTCAAAGGTCACTGAAATATATGAAAGTACGCGGCTTGACCACTGATAAATTTTAATTCATTGGGTGGTTACTATATTACAATGTATAAAATAGGTCATTCCGTTAAATTTGACTATTAGTCAACAATTTTCTGTTAAAATTAAGATTATTGAATGTTTAACGCAAAAATAACTTAATTCATTATTTTTATCCTTTTGTTTCTTCTAGTTATGGTTAATAGCAATTTCCCTCGATTCTCGTTTAGTCTCACGCTTTTCGTTCTTGCCTTTTTCTTGTCTTCTTCATATTTCTTTTCTCTTTTTTTTCTTCTTTTTTTCTAATAATTTTTAGGAAACATTATTCAAAAAACTTAATTAGACATTCTTTTATTACTCACTAATTTAATTTTTAGTAATTTTAATTTTCTTTTATTTTAATACATTTTTCTCTAGTGTCTACATGTATAAGAATTTAGTTTGTAAATTACGATTTTATAATGTTCAATTTGAAAAAATAAATACAAAAAAATTTAATTCGTCAATAATAAAACAACAAAAAAATGTCAAATCAAAATTTTTTTGATAAAATCACATTTTCTAAAAAGTAAATAAGAGAAAATAGAAAAATTTTAAAAAAAAAGAACAAGAAAAGAAAACATGAGATCAAACAAGAATTGAGGGGCAAATTGTTATTAATCATAACTAGAAGAAACAAAAAGAAAGATAATAAATAGTATTTTTCTAATTGGATGTTCAATGCCTCTAATTTTAACGAAAAATTATTGCCTAGCCGTCAAAATTAATGGAATGGCCTATTTTATCCATTGTTCAAAAGTGTAGTGACCTTCCCATGAATTAAAATTTACTAATAACTAAACCCTAGAATTCCACATAATTTAGTAAACTCTTGGGGCAGTTCACTCATATTAAAATTTAGAGTATGAAATATAACAGGTCTCATAATGACGTATCTCTCGTTTCCTTCAACTTGCATTTATTTATTAATTAATAACATAAAAAAAATCTTGAAATTAGGGGATTAAATTATAACTACACTTATGATAACTAAATAATTAAGAACAACATGTTCAAAAGTGAGAAAAAAACTTAATAAATAAAGGAATCACTATTAAGTGTAAATTTTCAAGCTAGGAAAACCCAATATTAATTTAGTTTCCCATTCAATCAGTCAAAATAGAAGATCATTCGTCAAGTTTCATGAATTCCCTTCCACCCATATTTTTGAGTTCTATTGGAAGGTTCCTATGCTAAATAATCACTAACTTGCTTGGATTTTAACTCATTTTTTAAATAAGTGAACCGACTAATGATTTTATTCACTAATTACCTACATGTATCATGTTATATCAATGTGAGATTGTAATACTCCCCCCTCATACATAATGAGCGTATGAACTCGACTTTTTTTTTAGTCTAGATACCTTTACCACGTTCGCGCTATTTGCCATACTAACTTTTTCAAATCACAAATTTGATGCCCGAACCAACTCAACAACGTTGTCTCTGTATCTCAAGCTCCTCTGTTGCGTACGCATTGATTTTTTTAAGTAGTAAAATTCTCCATCTTGAATAGTCTTAGTCAGTGACAGAATCAGCCCTGAATATTTGCAGGGTCGACTACAACTAGAACTTTTTTTCCGAAAAATA